TTTCCAATCACATTTCCATCATTATACCCCAGTAGTCATGGATCTAGTTCATGTTTTATTACTTTACTATATATATTATCCAGAAGTAAATAAAAGGTATTGTTTTGTATACTTACAAAAATTACATTAATAATACAAGCTGGTTTTTTAAAAATATTTTGCAGCTATTTTTCCATTCAATGTTATTTTACAATCTCCCTGTTGAATCCTGTAGATCTAAGTTATTCATCTTAAGTGTTGTTTTATATAGCATCCTATAACGAGATCCCCATTTTTATTCATTCTTGAAAGTATGAAAATACAGATTATCCCATTTAAGGAATTAAAAATATTGTATTTCATATCTTCATATACATATGTCAAAGCTTCTCCAATGTATAAACATGAGAGTGGAATTTGTTAGCTACTTTGTTATGTGGCCAGTATTATTCCTCAAAATGACTGTATGAGAGCTTTTTGTTTACTCACATCCTCTCTCAAAATTGGTGCCCTGTGACTTTTTAATTGTGGGGAAATTAGCTATGGAATAATTGTTTTATTTGAATTTCCCTGATTACTAGTTCTGAGTATATATTAATCTAATTTGGGGCATTTGTATTTTCCTCTTCTGTAAATTGCCTGCACATCTCCTTTACCCATTTTTCTATTAGGTTATTTGTATTTTTCAGTTGTGATGTGTTACTTATATTTTACAGGTAATAATCCTTTGTATCCTCTAGTCTGGTTCTTATTTTTCACTTTATGTGATCCTAATTTGTTCAAAGGTTTTTGATAAACTAGACTATATCAAAAATAATATTTTCCTTTCTGGCTTGGGCTCATAAATCCTTTTCCCACCCTGAAACTATAAAAGCATTTTTCTATATTTTCTTGTCAGAGTTTTGTAATTGTAACATCCAACCCTAATTCATCTGAAGTTTATTTGTGTGTGTATGTGTTATAACTTAGATGTAATTATCATATAGAAATCTAATGTATCAACACTATGTACTGAATTTTTTTTCTGAATGATAATGGAGGCGTCCTCTAACTTAAGCATGATTGCATATGTGCTTGACTCTGTGTCTCAACTCCATACAAATTCCATAGTACTGATCTATTTATGTATTCCCATGCCAATGACATGTTGTCAAAATTATTATTATTTTATGTCATTGATATACTATCCCCCTTGTTCTTGTTTTCAGAAATCTCTTGGTTAATTTATGCCCTTTATTCTTCCACATAAATTTTATTTTTTTTCTTTTTTTAAGATTATTTATTTATTTATTTATTTATTCATGAGAGTTCCATGTAAATTTTAGAATCCCTTTGTTGAGTTCTATGAAATTCAATTAGAATTTTTATTACACTCATATTGAATTTATGGGATAATTTGGGACAGTTAACATTTTGAAGATATTTCATTTCCCCACTTGAGAAAATAACCTTCTCTATCCAGGTGTATCCTATGTTTTTTGATAAAGTTTTGTAATATTTTCATAAAATTCTCAAACAACTTGTGTTAGAAATATTGTCAGTTGCTTTTTCATTTTTTGTAATTCATTTGAATGATGCCTTTCTTTCTTGGATATATTCTAATTAGTTTTTGGTAGTATATTAGAAATATGTTGATTTTTGAAGCTTGACTTGGTATCCTTCTTGAACTATCTCTAATATCTTTATTGAATCTCTTGGAATTTCTTTGTAGACAACCGTATCACTATAAATATTAAAATTTGTGTTTTCATTTCCAATCCTTATTTACTTTTTCTTATTTGATTGCAATGGCTAGGAAATTAATAATTTTCAGTGTTAGGTGTGATAATTGACTGTCTTTTTCTTATCATCAATGAAATTGCTTATAAAATTCACCAATCAAATAACAAAAATCTTTACTTTCATGGAACTTATTTTCTAGTTGATTAGACAAACATGATCTAGTTGAATAGGTCATGCTTGAGAAAGGGAGGTGTGTTTTTAAATAAGGTAGCAAGGAAGGTTCCACTGAGAATGTAACATAGGAGTAAGGATGAAGTCAAGCACTGAGTACAGAACAGTCAGCGCAAAGGCCCTGACACATGATTGTACCAAGCATGGTTGAGGAAAAGCAAGGAAGCCATTGTGGTTAAACAGAGTGAGTGAGGAGGAGAGAAAAGGAGATGCATTCAGAGAAATGAATGATGAAGGACCAGACATTGGCTTTGACTCTGAATAAGATGGGAAGCCGCTGGAAGATTTAGAGCAGATTTGGGTGGAAGAATCTTTGCTGAAATCATCTACTTATGCTTTAAAAGGTGCACTTTGGCTGCTGTGTTGAGACAAGAACGGCATGGAATAGAGAGAAGTAGTGAATGAGTAGTAGAATGAGATGAGGAGTAGTGAAAAACAGAAGGGAGTGGAAGGGAACATTTAATAGGGCTTGCATTTACCGATTTACTGTGAGGGGTCTGAATGAAAGAGAGGAGTCCAGGATGATTCCACAGGTTTTCGTTTTTGTTTTTTTCTTCTTTGGTTGGAGTAAATAGGTAAGGCTTTTCATTTTCTGAAAGTGGAAGAATTGTGGGAGGAACAGGTTGGTGGAGGAGGAAAGAGCGTCAGATTGAAACGTGTCTGCGATGGCAAGTTGAGAAAGTCAAGGGGAGACGTCAGGTAGGTAGTTGGATCTATGAATCCTGAATTCAGGAAAATCATTTTTACTGGACTTGTAAATTTGAGATTCTGAACAGGCAATAGATAGGTCCAGTAAAAGTCTAATGAGTTCATAAAAAAAAATGACAGAGGAGAGTTGTAGGGAGAGAGTATGAGATGGGAGAGATGAAGGAAAAAACAAAATAGATTGTGATGTGACTCGTGAGATAGAAAGCAAACAGGTGAGTGTGGTACCCAGGAAGGCAGGAGAAGAAAGCATTTCAAAGAGGATGGAGTGATCACTGTGTCACAGGTACTGATTGGCTTGGAGATTTTGATAAAAGGACTCTTAGATTGAACAATCTGGGGACATTGTGATGCATATAAAAACAGTGTTAGTGGAGGGAAGGGCAACCCTTCTATTTCCCTAATTTATGTCATCTTAAATTTATTCCTAGACTGTTCTAAACAGAGAAACATGAGATCTTACTTTAGCTAGTCATTAAGTTCAATATCATACTTTATCAATTTCAGTACTTTGATATTTGTCTCTGACTTTTTTTCTTCTGACTGAAGTAGGTTTTATACCTGATAACCTTTTAACTAGAAATGCTACAAGAACATATAAGCATTTGCCCATGAAAAAAAAATCTTTAAAGATTTTATTTATTTATGAGAGACACACAGAGAGAGGCAGAGACATAGGCAGAGGGAGAGACAGGCTCCCCATAGGGAGCCTGATGTGGGACTCAGTCCTGGGATTGGGGATCACACCCTGAGCCAAAGACAGATGCTCAATGGATGAGCCACCCAGGTGCCCTGAAAAATTTTTTGACTATATCCCTTACATGATGAACATAGAATGTTTTTAATACATATTTTATTCTCCAATTTAGAAAAATTAGTGCTTGAAGACATAATTTTTGAAGCATGAGCTCACAATACCGAAATAATCCAAAGTACATTATGGTTTTAATAAGTACTGCTGTCAGTTACACATGACATTGTATGTATGTGATTTACATACATGGCATATTTATGAAAAACATCATGTAGTAGAATTCATTTCTTTTTCTGTTAAGTCATGCTATATTTGATATTCTTTAACTCAAATAAAGCTTTATTTTTTTATCCTCAACAAAGTCCTAGGTCAGGATCGGTCAGGTAAAATAGGTGACAACTCATTTGGTCACCTTTGTAAGGTCACAGGTATCAACACATCCTGTACCTCAATATTTTTCTCATTTGCCATGATATATACATCCCACCAAAGTAATTTCCCTGGATTTGGTGACTTTTTATCTTTCCACATTTCCCTACTGAATGAAAACAGATCTGAGGTGGTGGAGGGAAGGGAGGTGTTATCTTTGCGACTGGGACATGTAACAGAGAAAAAGGCACTTTGCCAATATGATCAGGCTCCAGCCCCTGGAGGGAAAAGTCAAACATACCAAGAAGAAGATGCAGTGCCTTGAAAGAAGCTAAGAGAATACCAAAACACACTTGATCTTCCTCACAATGTTACATAGTTAGAAACTTTGCAACCTGCTTTGTAAAACTCAGTGAACCTGACTGTAAACACCAGTGGAGAAACAAGTTATGTACCCCTGCTACAGTCATTTAAAAGTGTTCACCAAGGAAAGTGGATGAAATCATTCTTGAGTAAAGAAAGAAGTTAAACATAAATCTTCCAACCTTGTCTTATTTACCTTACCAACTGATTTTGATTATGTGGCAATGTTGGGGGGGGTTTTGTTTTTTTTTAAGATTTAATTATTTATTCATAACAGACACACAGAGAGAGGCAGAGGCAGAAGGAGAAGCAGGCTCCCCATGGGGAGCCCGATGGGGGACTGGATCCCAGGACCCAGGGATCACGACCTGAACCAAAGGCAGGTGCTCAACTGCTGAGCTACCCAGGCGATCCTGCAGGCAACGTTGTTATGATAATTTTATGTAGCAGATAGTGGTGGAAGTTTGTCCCTGAAGTTTGTAAGATAGTCTCCTAAATTTTTTTTTAAGATTTTATTTATTTATTAGAGAGAGAGTGCGCGAGAGCAAGCAACAGAGCATACAAGCTGGGGGAGTGGCAGGCAGAGAGGGAGCGGGGGAGAAGCAGGCTCCCTGCTTAGCAGGGATGAGGGCTAGATCCCTGGGTCCTGGGATCCTGACTTGAGCTGAAGGAGATACTCAAGCAACTGAGCCACCCAGGCACCCCATAAAAATGTTTTTTTTTTTAAGAATTTTTAATTTGACTGCTAAAGTTATTTGTTTTTTTTTTTCTTTCTCTTAATTGATCTCCCATCCCAATTAAATTACACTCCCTTCAGCCTAGGCAATGTATCTTTCTTTTAGTTTTTTCATACCTTTTGTTTTCTCTCTTCTTTCAGCCAGTTGGGTACGAAAGTAGCTGAAATGCGAAAAAGACAGCAGTCACAAAATGAAGGAACACCTGCTGTGTCCCAAGCGCCTGGAAACCAGAGGCCCAACAACACGTGTTGCTTCTGCTGGTGCTGTTGCTGCAGCTGCTCCTGGTATGTGGCACTCTCTGTAGGATAGCACCCCTGAGCTAGCTGGGGGCTGACTACAGTGAATTTGCATGTTCATCCTTGGGATCTCCTTTTCCTCCTTCACAAGTAGGAATTATTGGAGACCATCATTGGAAATAGAATATTTCCCCAGAAACTACATTTAAATTGAGAGTAAGGTAAACAATGAAAACTTATTTGATATCCTGTTTTTCTCTATCCACACATCTTAAAGAGATGGTAAAAATAAGATTATGGTTATATACTTATTTAACCATACACAATATTCTCCAGGGTTCCAGAAGGTACAGGGACATTAAGATAATATCTAGCAGTACTGTACATCGCATTCAATGTCGTGTTTTAGTTATATGCTGTTTCACAGGATATTGATCATTCAGTTACAGAGCCACAAAACTGTGAGTCAGGGTGGCACTCTCAGCCACAGACACCTGAAAAAGGACAGAGAAAGAAGTACCACAGACCCATATCCACAAATCTAAAACCCAGGACTATGATGGGCATAAAGTCAGTCAACTAGTTTCTGAACTTACAGCTGGCAAACATGCTTTCCTTTGTGATTTTATCACTGACACGTTCTGTAACATCATACACAGTTTTAAACTCTGCTATTTGGTTTCCTCATTGGCAAAATGATGAAGTTAGACAAGCTGATTCCCAAGGTCCTGTGTAGTACTAAATGTCCATGATGCAGGCACCTCAGAAAACCTGCTCCAGTTCCAAATTCCCCAAGTGCCTTCCAGTAAGAAAATCAATGACTCACAGTCCTAAGATTTATATGGATGGGATTCTCCAGGGGGATGCAGGACTTAATGAAAACTTTCCGTAGAACCGTAAGTTTTGGGATCCTTTAAGATCCAATTCACAGGGACACCTCTGGGCCTCCTGGGCCTGGGTGGCTCAGTGGTTGAGCATCTGCTTTTGGCACGGGTGGTGACCCTGGGGTCCTGGGATCAAGTCCTACACTGAGCTCCCCGCAGGGAGCCTGCTTCTCCCTCTGCCTGTGTCTCTGCTTCTCTCTGTGTGTCTCTCATGAATAAATAAAATGGTTTAAAAAAATCCAATTCACAAGTGGATCTTCTGAATTAGTTAGTGGTCTTCTGGATCTCCCTGACTTATGTCAAAACTCTGAAGAAAGGCCCAAAGGCTTGAATCATCTTCTTGTATGTGATCTCTACAGTTATTGGTATTATTTGGTGGCATAATATTCTATCACTGTGGCCAAAATAGATGAAACGTGTTACGGTTTAGTTTTTTTTTTTTGGAAGGTTTAGTTTTTATAAATATCAAAACTGCTTCCCAGATGATGATTCTTTGTTAAGGAAAGTCATAAGTGACTCCTTTTCTTTCATTTTTAAGCCTTCACTATTTCAGGTGGAGGAAATAGAGTTCTAGAAGAGGGAAATATTTCAATAAAATTGTGACTATTTTTTCCTTTATCACTACTAAAGAGATCATTTAACTTTGGTCTGAATCCATGAAGTAAAGCGTAATGCCTTAATATGGTGGTTTGGAAGTCAGACTGCCTGACTCATGCTCGCTATCTGTTTGACTTTCAACAGGTTATTTTAATGTCCTCAAATTCCTCATATATCAAATTACAGTCATAAGAATCCCTACTTCATCAGGTTGTTGTACATTAAATGAAATAAAACACAAGCTGAAAACAGTGCCTGACACAGTGTATGCATCTAAGAGATAGCTCACTGGGGGCACTTGGGTGACACAGTCAGTTAAGCGTCCTACTCTTGGTTTTGGTTCAGGTCATGATCTCAGGGTCATGAGATTGAGCCCTGCATCAGGCTCTGCACTCAGTACGGAGTCTGCTTGGGATTCTCTCTCCCTCTGTACCTTCCCACCTCTGCCTTCGTGCTCTCTTTCTTTCGCTCTCATTCTCTCTCTTGCATTAATTAGCTCACTGGATTATAGAACACTTCATATTGGAGAAAATAAAATCTCCTTAAAGAGGAGCTCGCTTGAAATAATGTATATGTATTTTTTAAAGATCTACTTATGAATATAATATAAAAACTAATCTTCAAAAGGAAAGCTAGTTTATTTTAGATTCTATATGAGACATCCCAAATATATTGTTACATAGTGTTGGAGATTATGTTTCTATTTCTCATTTGTACTATGGCTATGTTCCAGGAATCAGTATATGATTTTATTTACCTGCCAAAATTTATTTCTGAATTGCTTCAGGATTATAACATCAAAACAGATAAGGAGGGCAGCCCCGGTGGCGCAGTGGTTTGGCGCCGCCTGCAGCCTGGGGTGTGATCCTGGAGACCCGGGATCGAGTCCCACATCGGGCTCCCTGCGTGGAGCCTGCTTCTCCCTCTGTCTGTGTCTCTGCCCCTCTCTCTCTGTGTCTATGAATAAAAAAATAAAATCTTAAAAAAAAAAAAAAAAACAGATAAGGAGTACGGAAGTTGTGTTGCGCTATATTCATTTGCTTGTCAAACACCTATTTGGCGAGGTTTCCTTTTTTTTCCTCTCCTGCATATATTTAGTGAGACTTGTTTTTATTAATCTTAAAGAACACACTAACAAAACATTCAGTATGAGTTCATGAGCATGAGCTTCTCACAGAACACGGACTATGGATGGAAAACAAAACAGCTTTTGGAAGCTGCATGAACTCTCCACACCTCTGAGTTGATGCCTATTTGAGCTTAAAACATTTGGTGCACTGGATGAGGGCTCAGAGTTCTAGACTTAAGTGTCTTGTCGAGAACTGTGTTTGTTAGCAATGAGTCATGGGTGCCTGAGTCTAAGCCATAAAGCACACAGTCTATAAATGTATAAACTCTTCCATATATGATAAATCAGAGGTAATTTCTAATGTAAACAAATTGAAAAAAATGAGAATAAAATCGTCTTGAACTATGAATTCTAATTGTGACAGTGTTATCTCATTGCAAATGAGAATCTCCTTAATAAATGCATTTTGAAAATATCATTTTTCTATTTTGGGTTTAAGAAAAAATATTTAAAGCCTTATTAGAGTGGGAAAACAAAAGAAATAAATGTTCTTCAAATTTTCCAGGTTAGGTCAGAGGAGCAGAATAGAAAGAAACACTAAAAAATGTTAAACTTAGGGACCAAAATAAAGTTAGAAATCAAAATAGGAAGTAATTATCATTTGTAAAAAGGAGCAATTGTCACGTAGCTGATTTCTCCTCCTTTTAAGGAAATAAAATGCTAGGAAAGTAAATTTCTATATCGAGTAATAAATACAAAACCTCACCCTGGCCTTCAATGTTATGGATCTTTTCAACATCATAGTGTTTCCCTCAAATTTGCATTTATCTTTCATAGTTCAGCATCAGCTCCTCTCCCATATTTAAACTTAACTGTGTCGTAATAAAATGACCACTGTGCTTTTGGGGGTGGGGGATGATACAGAGATTAAGTACAAAACTGCTGAATATTTCCATGGTTTCCTTCCAAAGTCTAAAAAGTTGAGACTTAATCTGTAATGACTTGTTAAGCCATTCTGTTCTCTGTTCCTTTCAAGGAAACCCTTCTGTCTTCAGATCAGTCTACTTCTCTTTTCTCCCCACAGCCTTACATTTCAAGGGGAGAAAACAAGGGAATGTGGTTTAGAGCATGTTAGTTGTTGTAACATGAATGAATCATGGAGGTCTGAGTTTTGGCCACAATATAAACCCTGTATAAACTTACAAGTCCTTCTATATATGGGACTAAGCTTAGCTACTGACCAGAAGGAAAGAGGATTTTGTCAAGACCACGTGTCTAACAGTTCAAGGCTGCCACTATGAAAACTTAATATTTCTTTTATGTCTGGATTCATACAGAGGTAGTTAACCCTCTTCCCTTTTCTTGATGAGAAAGAAATCTTTGAAAGATGTGGGCTCCCCACCAAACTGCCATCGCTAGGACAGTAGGGGGCAGTGAGGCCCTTGCCACACAATGCACTTTAGATGGCACACTGTGTGCCATCTCAAAGTAGAAACTGTTGTGGGCTCCTGAAAGCAAAGTGCCTCAAGAAGGAAATGGAAAGTAGAGCCTTCAAAATTTATGTCAAGCTTAAATCTATTTCCAGATTGTCCCATGAGCTCTCTCCTAACATCAGAGGTTATGTTAAAATGTTTTTCAAAGAAATCTTTAGGTGCTAATCCATCCCTTTTTTGATTTCTTGTTTTCCTGGTTGTGTCCTATCAAGCAAGACAGATTTCCATGGTCAACCATGAAAAATCAGAACTCAAGAGACATCAGCTCTCATCTCTCCAGAATGGTCCTATTGACTTCTTATGCCGTGTGGTGGAGGTGAGGGGATGACTCCAGGGGGGTCTGGGGCTGGGATCTGCAGCCCTGGGCTCTCTGCTTCTAGTTTCCAAAGGAATGGCTCTGTCTAGCTATTTTACATATTACACTTAGGTATAAGCTTTCTTTAAAAAAAAAAAAAAAGATTATTTATTTGAGAGAGAGGGTAGGGGAAGAGCAGAGGGAGAGGGAGAGACTGTCTTAAGCAGACTCCACATGGAGCCCAACATGGGGCTGGATCTCACGACCCTGAGATCACTACCTGAGCCAAACCCAAAAGTTGGACACTTAACCGACTGCACTACTCAGGTACGCCATGCTTTTGGCTGGAAGAAAAAATGGCCTTGTTAGAAAATGATGTCTGGAAAATGCTGTGTCTGATGTTCCAAATAAGGAAACTGAAGCTTGCCTACCTTCAAGAAGCTCATTAGTGACAGAAGTGAAACTAAAATGCAAGTCTCTTAATATCCAGTCCATTGTTCTGTCCACTTGAAGATGACACTTCCAAACTTTTCATTTCCAGGTTTGATATGAACCATTTCCAAAGCTTCTTAGTTTTCAGATTGAATTCACAGTCTCATACACCACTGTTAACAAGATTTGGCCCAATGCATTGGATATTCTTCATTGTCCTCAGGAGAAGTTGTCCCACCAACTGAAATTAGCCCTGTGAAAGCTAAAATTCATTCTCT